GAGAATCAAGAGCTTGAAGAGCAGGTCGAGCAGGTAGTGCAGACTTGTGGAGAAGAGTAGAGAGAGCCGAATCCTTAGCTGTCTTCAGTATTTATACACTGCTTTGGCCTTGGCACAAGGACAAGTAAATCTGGAATCTCATTGGTCAAAACTCCCACCTTGTCATGGCTCATGGCCATGGCCACTAAATCTGTCCTTGGAAAGCACATGGGCACCTCCAACACAGAACGCGGAAAAAATAATATTCAACCCTAAATGGGCACAGGAACAGGATCTACTACCTTTGCTTATGCTACTGAATGAATTTGGCTGGAAAATATTCAATAACAACAAAGTTATGAGCAGTCAAACATTCATCATTTCAACTGATAAATACTTCAATCAAATTTCATATCATAAGCAAACGGTTGAAAAATATTGAAGTCTTTAGGGTTGTAATGATGTTCATCAGAGTTTACTATCAGGAAAAGCTGTGGGAAGTCAGGAATCATGCATTACTCAGCTCTCTCAGGTTTTCAGGTTTCGAGCTTTCGAACAGGTGAAATTCAACTAGAATCAAGCTCAGGTACTTAGATTTTGATCAAAACCAGTCTAGCTGGTCAAAAACACTACATTACATTACAATTGAGTACCACTTCATTACTTCAAATACCTTCATAATATCATTAGATACTTTTCAATACCTTTCAAAGTATATCGTGAATATATTTTCATTATATTTAAGTAGCCTGATCGATTCTTAAATCTTTTGATTACTCTTCAGTACTCCTCAATTACATTAATTACTTTGGAATTTTGTTTAAATATTTTCATTACTCACAAATATCACATACTTTTGATATGGTGTCGTCATTGTCAACATTAATTGGATAAGAATTTTTTTTTTCGAAGCAAATTAATGGGTAGGGTACACACATGGTCTCCAAAATCAAATTTCCTCCCTAAGAGGCCAAACAATTTTCGCTATCTGAAAGTTTGTTTGGTTTTTAAAATGAAAAACCGCCGTCAACACATATAATAAATACTCGAATAAATGATTATGACACTGCTTTGATGATTATCTCTATTAAGGACGACACCTAATTACATAACTACATGGAATCATGAGTTATTGTATAGGAAAACTGTTATTTTTAATTAATTGATTTCATGATGATCATAATAGCAAATTTCATATCATAAGCAAACGGTTGAAAAATATTGAAGTCTTTAGGGTTGTAATGATGTTCATCAGAGTTTACTATCAGGAAAAGCTGTGGGAAGTCAGGAATCAATGCATTACTCAGCTCTCTCAGGTTTTCAGGTTTCGAGCTTTCGAACAGGTGAAATTCAACTAGAATCAAGCTCAGGTACTTAGATTTTGATCAAAACCAGTCTAGTAATGAAGCTGGTCTAAAACACTTCATTACAATTATTCACAATGAACCCGTGAGGTTTCACAATAAATTGTCGTGGAGATGACTTTGTGTATTATTCAGTATTAACCACTGTACTCTACTTCGAGAAACGATGGACTTCTACCAGAGGTTTTCCATAAAAATTGTTCGCAACGTTCCACATAGACAGTAAAAAACGCAACTGTTCACTCTTACTATAATTTGATACTTGATCATTATTATCTGTTCACATAGAAATTATATTTCCAAAAAATCTTCAGAATACATCAGGCCTTAGCCTGCAATGGTATATATCCGTCAGAATTTTGTGACTTTTTCTTCGACATAGACTTCACACTCTATAGTAACACTACCTGGTGAGACTGGAATTGTTATTTCCCATTATAAATAACAACAAAGAATTTCAAGAAGTTGAACGACACTCTGAGAAAAAGTTAGTTAGATTGCAAATGACCCTCCCTACCGCTCCACTTCTTTTGATCCATGACTTATGGAACACCCTACCCTGTATATTAGTTAGTAGAGCTCTCTTCGCTTTCCCATCTAAATATCATCAGGCATCTAGAAGATCTAGAAAAAACGAATTATAGAAGTAGAAATTTATTACACAGTACTGTATACTTTTCCACAGCGGTTACACATAAATACATACATTCAACTACTACAAATCTCGCAGTACACCGACATTTTCTCAACGACCAGACGCGCTGGCTCGCATCCAATTACCACCGACGTGGATCGGCGTGGGATCGGGAAAACCTGGATGCACACAATAAATTGTCGTGGAAATGGTTTTGTGTATTATTCAGTATTAACTAATGTACTCAACTTTGAGGAACGATGGACTTCTACCAGAGATTTTGTATAAAAATTGTTCGTAAAGTTCCGAATAGACTGTATAAAACGCAAGACTGATCACTCTAACTGTAATTTGATACTTGATCATTGTTATGTGTTCACATAGATATCATATAACCAAAATATCCTCAAAATACAGGTCTTAGCCTGGAAAGGTACATATATCCGTCAAAATTTTGGGTCTTTTGCTTCGACATAGTTTATCACCCTATAGGAAAAGTTGTAGATTGTAGATTGTAGATGGGTCGTATAGGCTGAGAGACCTGTCGATCACTGCGACCTAGAAGATCTATCGTGATTACCCCTATCTAGTTTTGGTCCTCTAACCCTAGACTTCTGATGAAGCCTACGATTTTCCTGACGGTTGACTTTTCCACTTCAGCAGGGGTGAGATAGACCTGTTCTAGGTGGTTCAGTCTTTGGCGGACTAATACTTCACATGAGCAAAGTATGTGTTCCGCGGTTTCGGTCGCATTGTTACAAAAGTGGCAAGTGTCAGTCTCCGCCAGGCCCATCTTCTTGAGGTGATACCTCAGAGGGCCGTGTCCTGTGAGAAAGCATGTGATAAGCTTTAGCTCTGGTTTGCTGAGGCTGAGCAGCTCTTTGGCTCGGTTCTGCGAATGGTTGATGAACCTTTTCGCTTGTCGTTGACCTGGAGTTGCTCTCCAGTAGGAGGACTTTTCAATTTCTCCCCATTTTCCGAGTTCTCCCTTTAGGTGACATTTGTTTATCCCACAAAAAGGCTCAGGACCAAAAAATGCAGATGCTGCACTTTTTTTTGCAAGGCGATCAGCTGCCTCATTTCCTCTGATTCCTTCATACCCTGGAACCCACATAAGTGTGACTTTGTTGCCCTTTCCCAGTTGCATCAGTGTTTCAAAGCAGTCCCATATTATGTAATCTTTGATGTGAAAACGAATGATTTTAGGGCCTGGCTGTCTGAGCAGATATATATGTTGGCACCTCTCAGACCTTTGCTCAGGCACATCTGGGCGCAAAGGTTGATGGCATGTATTTCAGCTTGGAAGATAGTGGGGGAGTGACCTAAGGCTTCAAATAGCCTACATCCGGTTTCATATACACCCGCGCCTACCCCTTCTTCCATTTTCGAACCATCGGTGTACCAAACAAGGGAACCTCTGTTCATATATAGGAAAAGTTAGTTAGATTGCAAATGACCCTCCCTACCGCCCCACTTCTTTTGATCCATGACTCATGGGACACCCTACCCTGTATTGATAAACGAATTATAGAAGTAGAAATTCATTTCACAGTACTGTATACTTTTCCACAGCGGTAACACATAAATACATACATTCAGCTACTACAAATCTCGCAGTACACCGACATTTTCTCAACGACCAGACGCGCTGGCTCGCATCCAATTACCACCGACGTGGATCGGCGTGGGATCGGGAAAACCTGGATGCACTTTCTTCTTCCCGGATGCCACAGAAGGCTCCACCACCAAGGGAGACCCGTTGAAGTTGAAGCCGTTCAGCTTATCGATGGCTCTGTCCGCCGTAGACTGGTCAGGTTAGGTTCGTAAAGTTTCACAAGACATCAGTATAAAACGCAAGATTGATCACTCTCACTATGATTGGATACTTGATTATTGGTATCTGTTCACATAGAAATCATATTTCCAAAAAATCTTCAAAATACAGACCTTAGCCTGCAAAGGTATACATATCCGAAAAATTTTTGGGACTTGCTTCGACATAGACTTCACACTCTATATATAGTAACGCTACCTGGTGACACTGGAATTGTTATTCCCCATTATAAGTAACAACAAAGAATTTCAAGGTTGAAAGACACAGATAGATTGCAAATGACCCTCCCTACCGCCCCACTTCTTTTGATCTATTACTCATGAGACACCCTACCCTGTATTAATTAGTAGAGCTTTCCCATCTAAATATCATCATGCATCTAGGAGATATAGGAAAAACGAATCATAGAAGTAGACATTTATTTCACAGTACTGTATACTTTTCCACAGCGGTTACACATAAATACATACATTCAACTACTACAAATCTCGCAGTACACCGACATTTTCTCAACGACCAGACGCGCTGGCTCGCATCCAATTACCACCGACGTGGATCGGCGTGGGATCTGGAAAACCTGGATGCACTTTCTTCTTTCCGGATGCCACTGATGGCTCCACCACCAAGGGAGACCCGTTGAAGTTGAAGCCGTTCAGCTTATCGATGGCTCTGTCCGCCGTAGACTGGTCAGGTTAGGTTCGTAAAGTTTCACAAGACATCAGTATAAAACGCAAGATTGATCACTCTCACTATGATTGGATACTTGATTATTGGTATCTGTTCACATAGAAATCATATTTCCAAAAAATCTTCAAAATACAGACCTTAGCCTGCAAAGGTATACATATCCGAAAAATTTTTGGGACTTGCTTCGACATAGACTTCACACTCTATATATAGTAACGCTACCTGGTGACACTGGAATTGTTATTCCCCATTATAAGTAACAACAAAGAATTTCAAGGTTGAAAGACACAGATAGATTGCAAATGACCCTCCCTACCGCCCCACTTCTCTTGATCTATGACTCATGAGACACCCTACCCTGTATTAATTAGTAGAGCTTTCCCATCTAAATATCATCATGCATCTAGGAGATATAGGAAAAACGAATCATAGAAGTAGATATTTATTTCACAGTACTGTATACTTTTCCACAGCGGTTACACATAAATACATACATTCAACTACTACAAATCTCGCAGTACACCGACATTTTCTCAACGACCAGACGCGCTGGCTCGCATCCAATTACCACCGACGTGGATCGGCGTGGGATCTGGAAAACCTGGATGCACTTTCTTCTTCCCGGATGCCACAGACGGCTCCACCACCAAGGGAGACCCGTTGAAGTTGAAGCCGTTCAGCTTATCGATGGCTCTGTCCGCCGAAGACTGGTCAGGGCAATCCACGAAAGCGTATCCACCGCGTTTGATTAGGATGTTGGTGCAGCTAAGATTCTGCTCCAAGAAGAGCTGCCTCAGGGATTTTTCGCAGGTTTCGCTGGGCAAGTTGCCCACGTAGAGCTTGCTCATGGTGATCGGAGGTATTTTCGCTGCAGTGTTCATGTTTTTGTTGCTTACACGATAGACTCACGACGATAGTGAAATGGTACTGTTTGAGAAGATACTGTTCGATGACATACATGCACTTATTTATTGAATGGATTTGACAGTTGCATTCAGTCAAGCTGTGCCAACTACTCGTTTCATAGAAGGGACTTATACAAGATGATATATTGTTGCAATCGATAGGGTCCTTGAACTCCTGGATAAAGTTCCACGAACATTTGTCTGGTCTCAGAAAAGCGTTGAAAAATATGAGACACAGGTACTATCTCGGAAGGAACTTTGTATATTAAGTATTATCGATGATCGTTTGTGTCGTCAATTTATTATTGGCTTCTCAAAATAACATGGTTCTATCTGGAAATGGATCCATTATTGAGAAATGTTTCTGAATATTCGAGTAAGTGTTGGTGAACTGAATGGTTAATATTCAATTTTCAATGAACTTTTTCTATTTTTGTGCTGTTATATTTCATTACACTTGAATTGATGTTATGAATTAATAGATTGGGTATTATTTTCAAGAAATATTAACCTAACAAGGTCGAAGAAATTAACAGATAGAACCTTGATATGCCATTATTTCATTTGAGGTGAGAAATGCCTGAAAATGCACTTACGACCTTGTTAATCAGAGGGGAAGAAATCTGTTCAACATTTTATCTTTTCCTTTTTACTTGTTTTCTAGTTATTGATACGGTAAGGGTAAAAGTCCGATACATAGTTGAATGACTGCAAGTTTCAGTGCTACGAAATCAATTTTGCTTAAAATGTCACATCTTCAACACCAACCGATATTGGATATTAGTGCAGGCTAGAAAGCGTTTACCCGAGTTTTTTGGTATACTTTGTCAACAAAAAGACGATTTGATTGATATTAATACACTAGCTCGCAACAGAAATACATATGTGTTCAATGGAAGCCATAATCATATCCAAACTATTCTTTTTTCAAAGGAAGGAAGGAATGCTCGAAGTCATCACAACTTTTAATGATGTTGTTGCATAATCATAAGGGACATGTTTCGGTCTCATGAAAGACCATCTTCAGCCGAATTGAAAGTTCTACAATACAAAAACAAAATTGAAGTTGAAGTGAAAGAATTACCCAATATTTGCTTAACTTACTTGGAGTTGAAAATAATTTTCTTGATGCTACTGTTTTTTATCGCTTGGTGCGCACGAAAGCAAATCCTCATAATGTTCGAAGAATATCGTGCGTACCTAGGGAGGATAAGGAGAGGAGGTAGGTGTTGAATTTTTTTTCCTTTTGGAAATTATAAGTTCTTGGAAATACTTCATTAGGCAATGAATTCCAGAGCTTTTCCGCGTTCTATAAAGAAACAGGTTTTGATAAAGTGCTGTTGACATATTTCTACGTTGACGTCGAACTTTTTGTATAGAGAAGTTCGCAGCAAACTCCACCTTAGATCAAATGCCCGCGAAACCGTCTTCCGATAACTTACTATCAGACGTGCTCTGCTCGGTCTCAAATAAGGCTAACGGTCCTGATGAAATTCTTCCTATCCTTCTCAGAAAGTGTGCATCAGATTCTCTGCATGTTATTCACCATCTCGTACAAGTGGGGTATTTTTCCATCTTGCTGGAAAATAGCTAGAGTCCAACCAATTTCCAGAAAAGAGAACAAAAGCCTGTCCAACTACTACCTATAGGCCAATCGCCCTGTTATCAGTAATCTCCAAAGTGATGGAGAAAGCCATCAACATTGAGCTCATCGGATATCTAGAAAGCTCAGGAAAATCAACTGGAGGTTCGCTTGTCTACGTCACCCAGGCTTCATTCGAAGAACATGGAGAATCTCTATAGGTGTGGCGTTGGATATATCGGAGGCATTCGACCGTGTTTGGCACCAAGGACTCCTCCACAAACTATACCAACATACGGCTTACCACCGTCGGGCATCTTTCATCGAGTTCTCTGCGTTCTCCTCTATAGAATTTACATGTCTTCACAGGAAACTAAGAACTTATATCGGAGGAGGGTCAATATCGATCTTGAAGAAATCACAGCCTTATGGGAAACCAATCACCTCCACAGTAAATACTGTGACAATATTCTGGATCAATTTTGGCACCAACATTGTTTTTGCTACATATATTATCAATGATCTGTTGGGAGCAACCACTTGCCCTATCCACAGCTCTACAGAAATCCCATTTCTTCATAGGAAACTAAGAACTTACAGGACTCCTTTACAAAATATACCATTTTACGGCTTACCACCATCGCCCATCTTTCATCGAGTTTTATGTCAGGCAGATCGCTCCATGTGGTGCGTGGATGATGGATTATCGTTTGATATACCATTGCCATCAATTCCGGCGTTCCTCAAGGATCAATTGTGGCACCAACATTATTTTTGCTACATATCAATGATCTGTTGGGAGCAACCACTTGCCCTATCCACAGTTTTGCAGAGGATAGTACTCTCCATACTGCGTTCTCCTCTACAGAATTCCCATTTGTTCATAGGAAACTAAGAACTTACAGGACTCCTCTACAAACTATACGATTCTAGGGCTCACCACCATCGGCCATCTTTCATCGAGTTTTATTTCAGGCAGATCGCTCCATGTGGTGCGTGGATGGATTATCGTTAGATATACCTTTGCCATCAATTCCGGCCTGCTACAAGGATCAATTTTAGCACCAATATTGTTTCTGCTATATATCAATGATGTTGGGTGCAACCACTTGGCCTATCCACAGCTTTGCAGAGGATAGTACTCTCCATACTGCGTTCTCCTCTATAGAATTTCCATTTGTTCACAGGAAACTAAGAACTTATATCGGAGGAGGATCAATATCGATCTTAAAGAAATCACGGCCTGAAGAAAACCAACCACCTCCACAGTAAAAACTGTATGTTACCGTGACAATATTCTGGATATAGGCACAACCAGATTCGAATTGTTGCTGATACCATTTCAAATTGTGAACATAACGATATTCTGGCTATAGTAACAATGAAAAATGGTTAGTACTAGAAGATATCTGATGGTTGCGCCTATACTAACTATTAGACGATTCTTTTTCATGAAATTGAATCAACGCCACCAACACTCAAGCCTGTATTTTCTCTAGTACGACGATATCTCAGTATCTTGATATGAAATTGTCTGTTACCATCATTCCCAGCAATACCGCACATCAATATGCTCGGTATTTCCATCAGCAATACTATTTCATGTGAAAATCATGTCTGATTTAACGCGAAAGCTGATTCATAAATACTAGAGCTTTTATTTCGTGCGAAAATTTTATACCTCAAGAGCTTCTTATGATCTACAAAGCACAGATATACGACCAGTTCAGCACCCACACATACGCTGATGCACTCAGATTTGATCCAGAGAAAAACCATTCGCCTGGTGATGGGTGATGTCACCCTGATTAATTAATACTTCGACCTCATTAGATCACCTTAGAAAAGTCGGCGACCTTTCACTTTTCTACTTGCTTTTCTATTGATTCTTCGACGGGAAATGTTCCTCAGAAATCATTCCATCACTAGCAATACCAGTCAGACGAACTCGACAGGCCCAATCAGCACATCCTTTCGCTTTTCACCTTGAAATATGTCGATCGAATAAGGCATTTCCAAAACTCGTTTGTCTGATATAAACCGGCAAAGCTTTGAAATTATTTGCCGCCAACACCACCACTTCTCCCTATCCTTCCTGGGTACGTACGATGTATACTTTGAACATGATAGGAATTTCCATTCGTGCTCTCCAAGTCAGTTAGACTGTTGCAGCCACAAGGAGTCTGACCTGAGTTGTGTGGGACAAACCGTGAAAAACCTTGCTAATCGCTCCTTTCAACCATTTTAAACAATTCGTTCATCTGTTAGCGTATATAACCGTAGATGGCGTTTGGTTAGAAATTGAAGTTTATAAAAAAAAACGCAATAATAAAATATGTTTCAAAACGCAATAATGAAAGATGGATCAGGTTTTATCAGACACGTAATGATAACTTATACACTTATTATATATTATATGGACGTTATTGCTTAAGGAAATATTCAAATTGGAAGACCAGTTTACCACCTCCTGGGATTTGACATCTTCTTTTCGTTTGAGTCTGTGTATAATGGATTGATTGAGGAAATAACAGATATCGTTCAGTAGCATGAAAATCTTCTAAAGGAATTGTTATGCTATTAGGTGGAGCAGATTTAATATGAACCGTTCATTCTCATTGTATATATACCTACACGGTAAAAATGTTTGAGTTGATTTCAACTCCAGGTCCACACAACTCTGTGTCACACACAGGATTATGTATATAACCATATTGAAGCTATACCCTTCGAATTATATTGACACAAAATGTCTCAGAAGTATGAAGAATGTTCGAGAAATCATGTACACAATTTTGGCAGAATTTCAACAAAATTCGAATTCATGATGAAACAAATTGTACATACATTTCTATTTTGACGAATAGCTCCACACAATAGGAATTGTAACTGTGTATAGGTGAAATCGAGGGTAAAATAGAGGGTTGTCGATTTTAATTTTACGAATTTTCACCCCATTTCCGATACTTTTTCTTATGTTCTGGTTCCCACGAAAAGGGATATCCTGTAATGTTCAGAGAACATCGTGGGAACCAAAGGAAATAAGGTAGGAATTGGTGTTCTTCTTAAATTTCTGGAGGTTATATGCCTTGGAGAACACCTCCCTTGGCAATGTGTGCCAGAGCCTCGCTGTTCGTTGGAGGATGAACGAGTCTTTGGAAAGAGATGTTCTGCAAAGTGAGCACGAAGGGATTCGAAGCCTCAACTCGACGGGTTAATCTCGCGGGAACTGCCAAGGGAGGAACAATTGTTGATATTTCAGAAGAGCATCGTCCATGAAAATATCTATAAAGTAGAGCCAGATCGTCAACTTTTCTACGGTGTTCAGGGTATATTTGGGTGTTGCACTCCAAATATGGGAATAGTATTCCAGGACTGGTCGGATCTGTACCTTATAGATCATAAGCAGCTGACTGGAAGTGATATAGCTCCTGGCCCGAAATAGAAAACCAAGTTTTACTAGCTGAAAAGGTATTCATCCATTCAGCAGTATGAGCGATGCCCCAAATCTCGGAAAAGTTAACCAAGTCGA